ATAATTATCCCCCCAAAAAAACTGGGGAACCACTTTATATCTAGAACAAACATGTGGAAAACTTGCCTCTTTCTGGTATTAGGAAAATGTCAGTGGATTGCTTAGAGCACTGACTGCTGAATCCCAGATTGCAGACTTATTATTTGACAACCATCACAATGAAGCCAGTTCCTATGAGTGGCAAGGCCAAAACCTGACTCTTTCAAACCCAGATTCCTGTATTACCTAGCTACCTTGTTGTGTGACCCAAAAAAGATAACATTCATGATTTTCAAATTCAACATGGCCAGTCAATAAAAGGCTGGAGTCGCTAGTCATGTGACCCTGGACACTGGGCCCCAAATGGCCAAATCCATTTAATCTCCAAGCTTAGGTCATCTATAAAATGGAATTAATAATAAGTCTACCTCATAGGGTTGTTGTGAGAATCAAATGAGATAATATCTGAAAAAGTGTTTTGCGTACTTTAAAGTGCTCTCTTTGCTTGCTATTATTATTGTAGAAATGCCTATTCTTCTTCATATATAATACTGTCTAGATTACTCTGGTTGATACCTGGAACTGATTAGAATTTCTGAACTGTTGTGAGAGGGAAGGAAGGTCTTTACTCAAGAACATTCTCAGTCACTAAAACCCAAGTGCAGTGATTTTCTCCCTTCTCAATCAGACTCCTCTGGGACATTAGGATATCAGCAATACCACTCTTTCCTTAGTGATGCTAATAATGTGGCTTTTTTTTAATGATTTGTAAAAGTTTAATCACCATGTTAACAGGGGTGCCTATTTTTGCCTCCCCCATGAAAATGTAAGCTCCATGAGAGCAGGAACTACTTTTACTTTTTCTCTCTTTCTCTACTACTTAGTACAGTGCTGGGCATGTAGTGATTAATAAAATAACTTTTATTGTAGTGTGGAATAGTGAGGAGTGTGACATGTAGCAGTTACAGTTTGGAGCCAGGAAGCCTGGGTTCATATAGGAACTTCATTTTCTAGCTGGGGAACTTGGGCAAGCCTCTCAACATTTCACGCAGTTTTCTCACCTGTAAAAGGGGATAGAGAAAACTTAGCACTCAAGATGGGATGGTTGGCTTGGAGTTAGGCAGAGTTGAGTTTTAAATCCCAACCCTGACATTTATTTGCTGTGGGATTCTGGGTAAGTCCCATCTCTGTGTCTCAGGCAGTGTTCTAGGACTTCTCTGTCTCTATCCTCACATTAGGACTTTCCTATTCTGAACAAATCATTGATCTTTCTTGAATGTGGTAAAAAATAGAGATATTTCTTGCATTACCTATCTTACAGAGTTGTATGAAAAGTGCTTTGTAATCTTTACAATTATAGTTATCTATAAGAGTTATTATCTCTGTCATACCCCACTGCCAGCCCCCATGCAGATGCCAAGTAATCTCCAGGCTAAAGATCCTTGTTGTTGTTGTTGTTGTTGTTGTTGTTGTTGTTTTAATCAACACAGTCGATGTCCTTATTTCTGGTCTTCTCATTATTTTGGTCATCCTTCTTTGGATATGCACCAGTTCTCAATGTTGCTTATAAAAGTGGTGCCCTCAGCTGACCCCAGGACTCCAGATGTGTTCCGACCAGTGCAAAGTAAAGTGAGACTATACTCATAACTCAGCCTGAGTGTGACTCTGCCTAGTCCATTAGACCAAGCTCTCTCAAGCTTCAAGGAAATGAGCTAGTTGGCACATTCACATAAGTCGAAACATTTACCAGAGCTAGTAGAGAGGGGAGCCAATTTAAGTGCCATCAATGATGTGGCCATGCACCAAATTCCAGGCTGCTTTGACTCTGGGGCACATAGCAGGCTTGTCCAATGGGAGGGAGGGAAATCCTATGTCTTTTGTAGCCAAAGGTCAGGAATGAGGGAGCCCCCCTTTCCTGAATCACAAAGATAAAGAAGTGACCCCAAGGACAGTTTTAGCTAGTCCACGTCCCTTTATAACAGAGATCCAGGTGAGTACAAGTGATTTTACAACTAGGATGAGGCCTCTGCTTGGGCTCTAAATCTCCAGGTTTATTAACAAAGACCCTAAGTCATTTTCCTAGAATAAATGGATTTCAAAGGTTGTTTTAGAAGGAGAACAGAAATTCATTAGTATTTACCCATCATATTCATTACCACATGAGGACAGCACAGACGCTTCTCCTGTCTGATAGTCCAAAGTCCCAAAGCAGATGACAGACGTAGCAAATAAATTTCCCACAACCAACTTCTCTCCTCTTGGCTGGCTGGTGTCTTCTTGATACTTCATCTTTCCTGTTTCCCTCAGTCCTTTGTTACCTTAGTCTCTGTCCTTGAAAATCTTCTCATCCTGACTAATTTAGTTGCCTATGTGTCTCAAACTAATATGGCTATAACTTATATGTGCATGCGCTTTTAAAAAGATTTCCTTATTTCTGCCTCCTTGGATCCCATCTACCATCCATGTTGCTTTCATAGATCTCCCACATCCTTAAACAAACCACTACTAACAGTCATCACATCTCTCTCTTGCCTTTTGTGGCTAAACTCATTGAGAAGGCTGGCTATAATAGGTCCCACCACTTTTTTTCCTCTCACTCTCTTCTTAACTCTTTTTAGTTTGCATTTCAACTTCATTATTCAATAGAAACCTCTCTCCAAAGTTATCAATGATCTCTTGATTGCTAAATCTAATGACCTCTTTTAAATTCTCATCCATCTTGACCTTTCTGCAGCCTTTGAACCTATCAATGGCCTTCTCCTTGATGTTCTATTCCTCCTGTATTTCTGTGACTCTATTCTCTTCTGATTCTCCTCCTAGGACTATGAATGGTCTTTCTCAGTCTCCTTCACTGGATCTTGATCCAATTCACACCAGATAACCTTGGGTTTCCCTGAGGAACTCCTGGGCCTACCTCTCCTCTCTCTATATATTATTTCACTTGGTGATCTCATCAGCTTCCATGGATTCAGTTGTCTCTGTAGATGATTCTCAGCTCTATTTGTCCATCCCTAATCTCTCCTCTGACCTGCAATTTAGCACCTCCAACTGTTTATTGGACATCTCAAACTGGATGGCTCATAGACCTCAAGGCCTGTTGATTCTGCCTCTGTAGCATCTCTCACATCTCTCCTCTGACACTGTCCCCATCCTGCTACAGGCCCTCATCACCTCATGCCTGGTCTCTTGTTATAACTTTCTGGTTTGTTTCCCTTTCTCAAGTTCCTCCCCACTCTATTCCATTCTGGACTCACTTGTCAAATTGATCTTCTTTAAGGTCAAATCTGATTATGTTACCTCTCTATTCAATCAACTACAGTGGCTCCCTGTTACTTCTAGGATTAAACCCTCTGTTTTGCTTTTAAAGGCCTTCAGAATCCAGCCCTTGCCTCTCTTTCTAGTCTTCATACACCTTACTATCCCTCTCTTCTCCTGATCCCTGTACCATGGAGTCCTTCCAGTGACAGACACCACTTAGCTTTCTTATTTTCCCTTAAGTCTAAGCTAAAATCCTCCCTTCTACAAGATATCTTTCCTAACACCACCACCCCCTTACTCCTAGTGCCTTCCCTTTTCTGATTATTCCCAACTTATGCTCTATGTATCCCAATACTTAGCACAGAACTTGACAAACAGTTGTTACTTAATAAAGGCTTGCAGACTTGACTTGACTGAAGTCCTAATATCAGACAGACCTTCCCTATATTTTCAATCAAACCACAGCTTCAAGATCTAGATTACTTAGACCTTACTGAGAAGTGAATAACAGAAAAGAGTGGCAGAGGAAAGGAAAGATCATAAATTTAGATCTTGGAAGGACCTTAAGCATCATTGAGTTTAACCCTTTCATTTTTATAAATAAGGAAACAGGTTTAGAATGGTCAAGCAACTTGACTAGGGTCACACATCTAGTGAATGTCTGAAGGAGGTTTTAAACTCAGCTTAGAGATGGTCTCTAAGGAAAGATAGAGGAAAACCCCCTTTCTGAGTTTTTCCTTCTTTCTTATTTTTCTGACTTCATTCAGTCCTTAGTTCTAGAAGCATCTGCCAAAAAGCCTGGGCTATGGAATGTGTTTTGTGATTGTTAAATGGAGAATCCATTTGTGTTGATGGTTGAAGGTTTTCCAGTGAAACCTTTAGCTATACAGATTGAATATGGCTCACTGGGGATTCGTGCTATGGTCCTTCTCTGTAACTGATTTATAACCAAACTCCAAAGTCAGGAAGAGCTAAGGCCTGACATTCTTACAAATTTCAGCCTCTGGTCCTTAGATCAGCTTCTCAAACTGATTTATTTATGCAGGAGAAAATGAGACCAACAATGAACTAGTTGGAGTCCCCAACTCCAGTACCTTCTAATCTCCTAAAGTCAGCATTCTTAACCTGTAGTCTGTTAACTTTTTTTAAATACAAGGCATCCCCAATTTTAATAGCTTGAGACTACACTAAGACTTTTGGAATGCACTGTATTTTGATGGCATTATTTCAATATAATTGGTTTCCTTCATAATACAAATTTTTATTCATTTAAAAACATTCTCAGAAGAGTTCTATAGGCTTCATCAGACATCAAAGGTGTGATAGCTACAACAGAGGTTAAGATCTCTTACCTTAGAAAAATGCCTGGTGAGGAAATGATAGGCTGAAGCTAAGACAGGTTCATATGCTCATGTATAGCAGCAAGCATGTGCTGAAACTTTCTGGAGGAATTCACATTGGATCTCGTCTCCTGAAGAATATTTTGTGCCTTCAGAGGTACAACCATGACACAGATATTTCCCCATAGGGTGCTTCCTGGTTTGCCTTCCACTCCAAACTCATGTTGCATATGTAACCTAGGGAGTCTTTGGCAGTAGATAGATAGTGAAATGTATAAAAGGGAAAATTTGGGCTTGAAGCCCAAGGCTAGTATGGAGAAACAAACCGAGAGCTTTCTCCTTCAGAACAAGGGTGACTCAGGTAATCCTCTAAGGACATGATGAAATTCTAATTGAATCTTTGCCCTCTTTTCTTCCCCATAGGTGTTCCTTAAAAGTGACCGGGTGGCCCGGATGGTACAGAGTGGCGGGTGCTCAGCCAATGACTCCAGGGAGGTCTTCAAGAAGCACATAGAAAAGAGGGTGCGTAGCCTTCCAGAGATCGACGGCCTCAGCAAGGAGACAGTGTTAAGCTCCTGGATGGCTAAATTTGATGCTATTTACCGTGGAGAAGAAGACCCCCGGAAGCAACAAGCCAGAATGACTGCTAGTGCGGCCTCTGAGCTAATCCTAAGCAAGGAGCAGCTCTATGAGATGTTTCAGAATATCCTGGGGATCAAAAAGTTTGAACACCAGCTCCTGTACAATGCCTGTCAGGTAAGATGTCTCACCTGTCTCCCTGCCAGCTATGGGGCCTCTCATGTTTTTTTCAGATGCTGCAGGAGAAAAGACATGGCACCCACTGGGTGATGGCCAGCTGCCTAGCTTAGTGTTGCATCATAAAACACTATGTCTGTGACCATGCTGGAATGTCTTGCTGGAAGCCATTGGTCAAAATACAATGGTTGTGACCATGAAGTCAGGGATGCAGTTCCAAATAGGAGCCCACTTGTATATTACTTCATAAACCTTAAAGTGCTGTATAAATACAGAGCCACAAGTAGTGATGTCTGTTCTAAAGCAAATGACAAAAAATGTGCCCAGACTGGGAAGGGCCTTACCTGGAGCCAACTGGTAGTGTCTTATTTCTAACTAATCATTATTACTAACTTGGTATTATACTACCGCAGGATAGTAAATTGTGTCAATACCCTCTAAATTTAAGCAACCTGGGGCAAAACTTTAGTCAACCCCCTCTGGTTGCAGCTATGTATAAATGTGTTATATTATTCTTATTTTGCTTCACTCCATTCACGAGGCCAGAAGCAGCGACTCTAGCCACACCCATCAATTAACTAGATCAAGATTGGTGACTAAGAATGGGGTGGCTTTCAACTATCCTTTGATGCTCTGTCCACAAGTTCCTCAATGAAAATAAATCTAGCCATCTATTTGAGTCTCAATGGTTTCTGAAAATCATTACAATAAGTTCTAATCTGATCAGCTTTTGCCACTAAATTACACAGCAACAGGGGTAAAATATGCTTCCAGGCCCCAGTACCCTATAAGAAGGTAACATAAGAAGGTAACAAAAACTATTTCCAACTAGTTCTTTGTGGTTGACAATGTCAATGTATTTTGAGAATGGTTATAATCTGTGCCTTGTTTGGGGTTTAAGGTTTCTGTTATCAGCATACTAGACCAAAAAGGTGAATTTCTGTTTTACCGGGTGGTATTTAGAACTCTGCTTTACAAATCCACAGCTCAAGGTGACTTCGCTTAACTCAAAAACAGTGATATACTTGTCAGGAAAGTCTCAATACCAAATGAATCTTAGATAATTTTGATTTGCAAAGTACATAAATATTTGCCATGCAGCACTTGTAGAGTGGGGGAAGTTGTATTTTTTTAAATTTTATTGATATCCTTTTGTTTTTCACATCACTTTCATTCTTTTCCCCTTTGCCCCCCAAGGAGCTATCTACTATAACAAAGAATATTAAAAGAGGGGAAGTACTTCAGCAAAGTTAACCAAATAAAAATAGAAAAATCTGAATTTATACACTGTGTCCCACAGCCCAACCTCCTCAAAGAAACAGGGGGAGTGCCTTCTTATATCTTTTCTTTGAAGCCAAGCTTGTTCATTGTCATTTGTCAATAAATTTTTGTTGTTAGCTTTTTTTATATCACCAACATTTCCCAATGTTTCTCTTTCTCCTCCCAAAGAACCATAAAAGAATGGCAAATAATTAATAAGAGGCAGAAAATAATTGGAAAAGCTAAATTACAGGAAAAGTCTGAGTTATTTGCAATGTCCCATAACCCTTGTCCCCCGACTATACAAAGAAGTAAGGGATGGGTGAGGAGGTGCTTCTTCATTTCTTTGGGGGCCAAGTTTGCTCATTATAATTTCACAGCATTCAGTTTCAATTGTTTTCTTATTGTTCTTTCCATTTACATAGTTGTAGTCATTGTATACATTGTTTTCCATGTTCTACTTACTTTATTTTGCATCACCTCATACAATCATCTGATTCTTCTCTATATTGATCCTTTCCCTCATTTCTTATGGCAAAGTAAGATTCTGTTACATTCATATATCACAAGATTTTAGTGATTCCTTGGTTGATATGCAACTCCTTTCTGTCCAGCTTTTTCCTACTATAAAAAGTACTGCTATAAATATTTTGGTGTATGTGGAACCTTTCGTCATTGATTTCCCTATAGTATTTGAGGATATTCCTTAAAAATGTTTTGTTAATGCTTTTAAATGCCACAATCACATTCCAATAACTCTTTTGCTGTGACTTCCCTCATTTAAAAAAAAACTAAAATACAGTTAAGCAAAAGTATATGATGCTGAGACTTAAAAGGAGTATACAACATTCTGTTCCCATAGTCTACTACCTCTCTACTGAGAAGAGAAAATGTATTCTAACACATGTTGGCTATTGATACCAGCATTTGATCTATATCCTATTGTCCTTTGGAGTTGTCTTCATTAGGATTATTGCAATCATTGTGTCTTTTGTGGAATGAGGCTATATTGCACAATCTAACCAATGGAGTGTCAAAATTCTGAGAAAGATTTCAGATCACTATTTTATTGTTGGAGTAAAGACTGGGATATTTAAATGTTCTCACCATAGTGGGAATAAAATAATTTGGTAGATTATTTTTTCTTCTTTTTACAATGATTTGTCAAATGTATAGATGGATTTTGTTCCAATCTCTGTTTTTGCTCAGATTTAACATCATTAGGATGAATCCATTGACGTGCCAATATGATTTAGTCTTAATTCAGCTTCATACATCTTTTGAGACAAGGGGATTATATATCATGGCCATCTTTCTAATTTTCCCCTCACAAAAGAAAAGTGAGGTATAGAATTAATTTAATTTTTTTTTCTTTTCACTATCTTTTCTGGGATATGGAAAAGATAACAATGGAAAAGAATCTGGTGATATGAATAATATGTCTTTTTTTCTTGAATAATAATTTTTCCCCCTCAACTAAGAGTGGTAAGAAGAGTGAGTAAAAGCACAGATTAAACAGAAACATATAAGGACACTTAGGGCTGTGATACAAAGTGGTTACTTTGGGCTCATTGTCCATAGGCAATCAGATCACAGATAATGAGTGAAGGAAAATTATGGGGAAATGAAGGATATTCAGGGAATATCCTTAACATCTGAGAATGACAGCACGGAAAGAAACTACCACAGCTTCCCTCCTCCCAATTGTCCTTAGTACCACTCTCAAAGAGAGATTAATAGGTTCGATGGATTGTTGACCTGACCTCATGAAACATTTTTGTTGTTTTCAGTTGTTTTTTTTAATGGAATATATCCTCTCTAAGAGTGTATAGTAGACCCTAATTGGTCAGAGATGTGGCTCAGAATCCCATAATCTCAAAGCTAAAAGAGACCTCACAGATTATCTAGTCTAACCTGTACCTTTGCAAGCCCCTTCATCATCATCATCATCATCATCAATCATCATCATCATCATCATCATCAGCACAACAATAGCTCACATTTATGTAGCATTTTATAATTTGCAAAGTGATTTATCCACATTATATTATTTGACCCTCATAACAACCATATGAGGTAGACACTATTACGTATACCCATTTTATGTATCTTCTATATCTCACCTCATTGACCACATTTTGAAACATGGTTATGATACCCAACAGATCAGCAGAGATGAAAGAATGCAAACACGATGTGTTAGGCTTGAAGTTGGTAAAATGGACCCTTCCTGGTCTATGTTTCTCTGGGTCTTAACCAGGGTTTTGACCATTTGATTAGTCTAACTTCTCTCTTAAACAAGTTCTTTGAAGGTCAATTTTGATGCCCCTGAAGGCAAAGCCTAACCAAATTAGTCTTCTTCCCTCTTATCTCTCCCCCTTCCACTCATCACTCATCAGTTTCTGAGATTGTCCAAACAATATTCATAAAGAACGGGACTGACCATGTCACTTTCATGCTTAAGAATCTTCCCTGCCTCCCTATTACTTCTTGGATCAAAGAAAGTTCCCCCATCTGGTATTTAAAGCCATTTCAACTTAGTTCCCCCCTATCCCTCCAGGCTTGTATCACATGACTCCCTCATATACACTCACTCTACATTCCAGCTATATTGACCTAATTGCAGTTTCCCATTCCATTTTTCAAGTCATGGACCTCTGATGTCATCTAGTCCAACCATCTCATTGTTTATGTTTTGTTAGTTTTTGTTTTCTTTTGTTTCTTTTGTTTTCCAGAGAGGAAATTGAGGCCCAGGATATTTAAGTGGCTTACCCATTGATGCACAAGTGCTGTCCAAGATACTATATGAGCTGGTCTTCTTACTCTACTTTCAGTGCTAGGTGACACAGTGGCTAAAGCACCAAACTTGGAATCAGGGAGACTTGAATTCAAATCCCACCTCACACACTTACTAGCTGAACAAGTTAATTTGTCTGCCTCAGATTCCTTATCCATGAAATAAAGATAATAATAGTCCCTACTTCTCACGGTTGTTGTTAGAATCAAGTAAGATAACGTTTGTAGAGCACTATGCAAATCTTAAAGCACTGTATAAATGCTGAATTTGTTATTGCAATACCACTTCCTTTCTACTGCACCTTTTCTACTTTGACAAACCTCTTTCTCCCCTTGCTCCAGAGGGGCCATCAAGTTAGGCAGCCTAGGATAGATGGATGTTGACTCACTTGGTTACTCTTTGCCCATAAGTCCATGGTCTCTCTGTGATTGTCAGGGTGAAGCATGACTCATTCATTATCCTGTAATTATGGACTCAAAATTGTAGACTGAGGTACATCCATTCTTACAGTCTACTCTTAGCCATGATCACAAAGGAGCTATCCAGCCACAAAAGTGCTGATGCTGTAGTGAAAGCAAAGTCAAAGAATATTTCTCTCCCACTTGGCAAAAAAAAAAAGGGTTGGTTTTTTTTTTTTTTTTGCTGTTGTTGTGGTTGCTGTTCTTATTTTCCCCCTGAAATTCTAAGGATCTTATGGTCTTAGAGCTATAAGAGGCCTCAGACACCAGTGATTCCAACAGATAAGGAAATTGAGACCCATAGAGGTTAAGTGAAATCACCTGGACAAATGTCCAAGGCCACACAGGTAGGCAATGTCAGGAGGGGAATTCAAACCCAAGTCCTTTGATTCCAAAAACTGTGACCTTTGCACTCTCTAAAACTCTTCTAAGATTTGAATTTACAATCACATAAGAGGCAAACAGTGTGATGTAGGGAATGGAGG